TCCATATACGGATAATAAATGTGTTGAATAGTAAATCAAATCATCTCTGGTTGGTGGTTTCAACCCCTCTGAAAAATATTCGTCAGTTGGGATTATTCTTCCCAATATAATGAAAAATAAAAAATGTTCCAAACCACCAACCAGATCTATATATTCGTGTGCAATTTTCCAAAACTATGTTAGAGTACCGGCAAGTATAGTCCACCAAGATTCACCCAACCATATCAAGTTATCAACTGCTTAAAGAAAAAACATATTTTCCATTGACATTTCAATTGATATATAGAAATTATATCCACTTTTATTGTTTATCCATATGTATATGGATATATCCACATATATTATCCATTGATTCTCCACGTTCATTCTTGTTCCCCTCTGCAGTCAAGCTGCAGCTTGTTCCAAGGGATTTTCAGCTGGATCCGCCCAATTCCTCCGCTGCGCACTCGAAGGCCTTCAAGGCCCAGCCTGGGCTGGCCGCGACACGTCACCAATTTCCACCATTTTGGGGGGACGAAAACTGATGTGCCATGTCGTAGTATATGAATTCATGCTGTTCCAATTCAGCCACTGTTCGGTAGCGGCTATCCGGTTCAAATTGTCAAAGGAGGTCATTGCTGTATCGGCATGTCCAACATGTTCGAGTCAGCATTCGAAACCCTTGCTGCTACCTCAACTAGCTCAGCTACATCGTCCAAATACTGCAGCGCAAGGTCAAGCATCAAAATAAATAAAGCCTCACCAATTTTCACCATTATATAAACCAATCCCTCAAAATACCATGAATATCCACATTCTGATTCTCCAGTAATAATTCCATGTGATAACTATCCAGTATCAATGGCATAATTATTCTAATTGATCTCCATATAAATAGTTATATTCATCATATTTATATATATATATATATTACCCTCTGGCAAACTAACATTAATAACTATGGAAAATCACCATGTTTAATGGAAAAATCCACTATAAATGGCCATTTTCAATAGCTATGTTAAATTACCAGAGGGTACCATTTGAATCCATGTGATAACTATCCATTGATTATGGATCTTCATACCACAGTCATATTGGAAGTTTCAGAAACGTTTGGGCACCCACATGTGTGGCAACTTGGAAGAATCAGACGATCATCTCTATATAATTAGCTATATTCATTATATATATATATGTATATATATATATATGTATATATATATATTACCTTCTGATATATAACTATCGATTGATAACTATCCATTGATAACTATCCATGATAAATATCCATTGATCATATTGTCTGGTGAATATTACTATTTTACTATTCAATTATTATAAATATTCCATTAAAAGCCAGACTTTGATCATATTCCACTAATATTGATACCATCCATTGATCATATCCCACTCATATTCCATTATGATCAATATATATATATCCGTTATACATACATATATACATATATATATATTACCGTTTGATAACTACCCTCTGGTAAACAGCCACATAGCTATTGAAAATGGCCATAGAAATAGTGGATTTACCCATAAAAAAGTTGGTGGATCGTTCCATAGCTATGTAAACGTTTACCAGAGGGTATCCATTGATCAATGGTAAAGGTTCACATAACTATTGAAAGATCCACCAACTTTTTCATGGGTAAATCCACTATAAATGGTGATTTTTCTAGTGGATTCACCGTCGACATTTGAAGCGCTCGATCTCCGTCCGGTGCAGACTGGGCGCAGGCTCGGTGCTTCCGCCTTGACGCTCAGGGCGTGGAGCTCCAGGGAACCGCGGAGGACCTGGAGAAGTTTCACCATGGGATTTCAGCAATAGCCTCTGGTTCTGTCAAAATAGCTATTGAAAATGGCCATTTATAGTGGATTTTTCCATTAAAAATGGTGGATCTTTCCATAGTTATGTTAGTTTACCAGAAGTTAATGGATGGTTTTGAAACCATGAAATTCATAGGGAGCTCACCTTTTTGGACATGTTAAATAACTGTTGCTGGTAATGAGAGATGTAGATATATCGAATTAGTTATTCAAGATTAATGGTGGTTATAAGTCTATATAACTTCTAAGTGGGAGGCGCTACAAGCATATAGGCCTTCAGCAACAAGATTGTTCGGTGTTTAACATGGTTTAACCATCCTGGAATGGGGTTCAAAATGAATCGCTCCAATACAAAACTAGGGTTTGGTATCCAAGAATTATCGGGGGGAGGGATGATTACATATCATTATAATACATAATTATATATATATACTGCATACATACAGTATATATATAATTACTATATAATACTATATGTTGTTGTATATATTTCCCACCTGAACATGTGGTGCAACTTGGTTATGATCAAACAAAAATGTCACAGAGCTATACAGAAGTTATTTATGGTGAAATTATTCTCAAACCATATTTAGCCTTGGAATTGTGCACCCCAAACAATATAAATGATTCCAAACCACGATAACCTCCAATCATATTGGCTTACTGGCTAGCAAAACAACTTATACAGGTCGGATTGCAGTCACCGTTGGAGTTTCAACTTGCCATTTTCCCAGAATTGCTACAGTAAAAAAGGTTTTCCTTTAAAAATGAATGGCAAATGACAACAGGTTTCCTGCATGTTGTTCCCTTAGATCAATCCGTGTAACTGCAATATCGCGGAGATACATCAATGGCTTGGTTTAAGGGACAATCTTAACCGGAAATCCATCCGGACTTTTCCCAGCAAATATGGATAAATATGGGGTTTTCCTGTAGATTGTCCCTTAAACCAATCCAATGAATACAGCAACAAACATTGGACACACCCGATGGACACGACACCCGACGTGGCTAAGTTCACGACTCCCACTCGCAGCTTGTCGCCGGAAATGCCGTCCTGACTCCGTCACTGCGCAGTTGGAGACTTTTTGGATGAAAGGCTGTGAACTATGTGCACATAGTATGATATAATATAGATATCAAATACAGTATATAATTTACTACGTACTGTTGTACGCGCATATGTATATATACATGCATACAACTATGTAAAATTATATGGTATTATGAATTAAATATGTGATACCGTACAATAAGAATGCAAGATCATCATCAGCCCCATCCGCCAAGTTGCCACATAGGGCGCCAGAAATCGCAAAAGCAGCTGCTCCAGTGCCTTGGGCCAGCATGAATCATTCATTAAAACCTGCATGAATAATTCACACACACACACATATATATATATACACATATGTGTGTGTGAATTTCTAGGTTGACTAGGTGCATACATATTCGTATATGTGTGGAATATATGCATGCACATGTGTCCAACAATATCTGTGCCCATAAGGTATATCTACGCATGTGCACCATTCATCACCATTCTGTACACACTACACATGTGCGCGTAAACAAACATTGTACATCCGGTGTGTGTGATTGTGCGTTATTGTGTTTGTAGTGCGTGCCCATATGTGTGTATAATAATGATTAATAATGCATATATACATGTAAACACAGCTATGCCTCTCCCTCTCTTCCATTGCCACCCACCAAGCTGCCCACACAATCCTAACAGACATCACACATGTTGATACTGCTTGATCTATTTGTCTGTGCATGCCTGTGTTTCATATCTACTTGCTATCTACTCACATATCTTTACACACGCACACAGAAATAGACTATTCGTGAAGACAAAACCAAGGCCGAGTTCCCGCTGGAAACTTGGCTGGCTTACCCTCTGGTAATCAACATGGCAACCAGGAAAAACCCATGGAAAATCCCCCATCCATGGAAGATGTTCCATGGAATATAAGACCACCATAGACCGGATTTCCGGTTGGGCCACGTTTGAAAAAACGGAAGGGGAACTCACTTTCCACATCTTTCCACCACGCCTTTTAGGGCTTCCGAATGAACGTGTGAATATTGAGAACCCAGCTGATTCGAGCATGGATAGCGGCCGGAGTCATTGGCGACAGCCATTGACATGACTTCATATTCCACCATGTGGGATGCCCCAAAGCGAATGGCTTGTGATGATCCAGTGATGATCCATCCACTACAGAAAAGGATTAACTTCCATAATTGTTCTGGTGAATGCCGGCTGCAAACCCGCTGATAAACCAGGCAGCCTTTAGGACTTTAGGATCAGTCAGTTTGATTTTGTTCCTCTGTAAGTTCTGGAGGCGGATGCTGGAGCCAAAACTGGCTGCGGTCGATTGATTTGATGTGCTACTGACTTCGGTTGCCCTTTTATCACAACAATTTGGTCAGCCCCAAGGTGGATCGAATTCAGGGCTCAAATTCCGTGCTGGTTGATGGTGAATCAACCCTTTACTATCGCTCCTTGGGGATCATCCCAAATATGGTCGAAAATCAGGAAGGCTGGAAAACATCAACCAGTATATTTGAAGTATACAATGATATAATAATGATATAATATATAACCCAGAACAATTAGGGGTCCACAACCAATTTACTGGCTAGCATTTGTATCTTATCCTCCGACAGCTGCCAGGTTCATTTCTGCAGGTGGGCACCTTCTTCCGCTTGAAACATGAAACGATAAGAGGCCAAGCAGTGCCGTTGCTGCTGGCATCAGTGCTGCCTCCAAATTGTCATCTAGTTTCCATCAATGCTTTGATTTTAATGGAAAAATACTGTGTAGGACCCCCGTGGTTATGTCATGTTATTACCATGACAAGAGAGGTCGCCTGTATTTTTTCCCGATGAAGGGATTCCAAAACTATGTCTTTTCTCGGGTGATATTGCGGGGCACGAAGGGTATTGATGGGCGGGGTTCCGGATCCCAGTCAACTTTTGGACTCTTCAACTCTGTTTGGGGGACTGCTCAACAACCAAAACTCCAATAAGCGCTAATATCTTGGGATGTTCATTGTCATGTAGCTACCATCCCCGCAACTGACATAGACCCTGCCAAATAGATCCAAAAATGGGGGTTGGAAGACTACTTTCCGAAAAAAACATGTACATTTCTTGGGGTCGATGTTGGGGGACGGTATCTTTATTTCTGCGTATGTAAGCAACTGTCATGCCACCCTGGCGGCTGCGTCTCATCCGCGGGGAGGTGCCCTGCGCTTGCCCATCTTGACCTTCCGACCTGGCACCAGGTTATCCCAAATGAAAGTCACCAAAACTTGTAGCATCTGGGCTACGGCTATGGTAAACACTATGGCTGACCTGGGAAATTATTGCAACCAGGCTCTAGGAATCCACATAGGGTTGATGACTCATACTGGACATCAGTGGAGCGAACTCACCCCCTTGGCGTGCCACCTTCGAAGGGCCGTTCCACCACCGGTTTCAACACCCTTACCAGCTGCAGACCTACCTGGCATCACCAGCCGAAGCTCAAGCTTCAAAAGCAACAACTGGTGGTCATAGAAGAGATCGAGTTGGTATTACTCTACCAGCTGATCTGATGGAGTTTTCTACTCTTCTACTTTCAAGCCCTTCAATGAAAAAAAATGTCGAAACTCACTTGGGATCATCCCCAAACAAGTGGGGGACATATCCTTGGTTACAGGGAAAATGTGCAGGAAACCATTGTTTTTTATGCGTTATTTCCATCATGTGTGGAGGCTTCTTGTGCGTTTTCCCTTGGTAGCGCACCTTGACATCGAAGGAGCTGATTGGCTGTATATCCCACAGCTCCTCGCCCTCCAGGAGAAGCCTGCGAGGCCCAGAATGCCACAATAATGACGGACAACACACTTCTGATATATGTATCATATTAATTGTATACACATACAAATATATCATATGCGTGATATGTACGTATACATTTGTAACCACATATCTCTGTCTCTCTGTGCTTATGGATATCACAAGTTCTTGGAAATATGTTATCCATCCCGAAACGGTGCTAAGCTGCTACACTTTCCGATGGTCCAAATGGATTTTTCTGACGGTCCATATGGTTCCATGAAGTCCCATGTACCCTCTGGTTATGACTAACATAGCCGTGGTATAGATGGCCCATTTATATATTTATAGATGGTTTACCTATGAAAAATGGTGGATCTTTCCATGGCAAACTGTTAGTCATAACCAGATGGTAACTCTCCAAGCTCACATAAAAATATGGAAAAACCATCGTCGTTCCGTATTAACATGATGGAATTCCATATCTGTTTGATGATTTTTCTATGTCGACCGGAGAGTACTTTGAATGGAGGGTACGTGGCGCTCAAAAGCCATGGCCAACCTTAGATGCACTGCAATATGTATAATATATAATTTTAGCTGATGTATGGCAACAAATTACACACATATATTATTATTATTATTATATATATATATAGTTGGTACATGTTAGCATTAACCTTAGTTCCTAAACTATCCAAACTTGATATTATATAGTTAACAAGTCCAAACACGGAGAACTATCCTAGGAACTATCCAAGTCCATTGAAGGATTCTCTGAGTGTAGCCATGTGGCAAACCCAATGCCATAAATCATCACCATTAAAGGTTCATTATAATATTGGGTATGCCTTAAGGTATGCCGTGGTATGCCTCTACTGGGATGATGTGAAATGATCCCTGGTTCGTTAAATCATGGTTGAAAGCACCATTTCTGATGGTTGTCCAACCATTGTTCACCAATCATGAAAATGGTAGAATCCCAGTGTAATGTGGGATTCACCCCATGCCATGAACCAGCCCCAAAATCACCAGGTGGTATTCAAACCTTCCCCACATTCACGCCTCTGCTCCTCGGCAGGGTGGCCCGCAACCTTTGTGATGGCCTGGTGCTGGGCGACCGTATGCGGATTGAATCAACAAAAATTGAACGGAATCTATAGCGGGCATTCATCAATAGAATTTATCATCCACTTGTACGCAATTGATGATCCATTGATGATCTCTTTCTCCATCGCCATCGGAGTCCATGATGGGCGAGCTGGTTTATCAACTGATGAGTGAGCTGGTGTATACAGTAAATATAGGCTAAGCATAGGGCTAACTCGGATTCATGGCGATATATCTGCACTTGGATGGCTGTCCTTGTAGGTGGTGCCACTTATCCTCTAGACTCTAGCAGCTACCTTCATCAGCTACCCCTATTCTTGGGCTAGAAGAAACCTGGCACCATCGTAGCAAAAAATATCAGGTTATCAGTCAAGTGCTGCTTGGGGTCTGAAATCATCGCCTCAGGGGCTAATACTTTCCAGCTCCACAACCCCCCAAAGCTTTTGGTGGCAAACCCAATGATGAACCACACACACACACCCATCATGTTCTGCTGACTTCTGATGATAAATTGCTGCCTGCGGATTGTAATTACCATCCGCCAAACTGCAGTTATTGGAGCAAGTATTTTTTTAAGCCCCAAATTCACGGCAAGGTCGTCATGTCAATCGAAGGATGGCAAAAACTTTTTCAGAACATTTCAACATATTTCAACTATAAATCATCTATAAATCATCTATAAATCATCTATAAATCATCTATATATCCCCCATTGAGTACAATGATTTTCATATTCAACTGCCCATTTAGTTTCGGGATTTCCCAGCCACGTTGACACCGGTATCCCTTCACCCAGCCTGCTTTACATCTCGAACAGTGGCGGCTGCTGGCACGCAGACTTCAGGCAGCTCTTGTCCAGACAGCAACGCGACACGAAGTGTGATGGTATCTCGGGGTCAGCACATGCCCCTAGATCCGTGGAAACCTATGGTCATCTGGCATAACCCTGGAAAATTGCCAATGTATACATAGAGGTTTCCTAAAATAGGGGTACCCCTAAATCATCCATTTTAATGGGAGTTTCCACTATAAACCATCCATTTTGGGGTACCACCATTTAAAACCCCCATATATGTTTTATCTATCAAAAATTGTTATTTGTCAATCCCCTGGATTGAACTACATCCAGGGCCGACCAAGACTAAAAACAGGCGTCGATAGAAGGTAATTATCAGCTATTTTCTTACATAATGATTTTTTTTGGTGGGGGTAATATATATATATATATAATGTGTATTTATATATATATAATGTGTATATATATTACATATATATTACATATATATATGTTACATGTTTATATTCATAATGCAATGTTGCTTTTATTCTACCTAGTAGCCGAGTCAGGCAAAAAACACAAGTCCACGATCTTTTGCCAAAAAAACGTGAAACTTTGGATGTGCGTCTTAAACAAATCCCGACCTTCGAAAAGGACCTTGGGCCTATCCGGGCCACAAAAAAAAACAACAGCCATCAATGAACAGCCTATGCAGAATGTTAGTCAAACATGACTAAACATGTTGTTTATTGATTTTACTGACTGTCATTGTCAAATCTTCATTTTTGTGTGTGTGTGTGTCTGTGTGTTCAAGTGTGTGCGTTGCAATTGTTTTGGTTTTCTATTTGTATTTTGGTTTGTTTGAGCATTGTTCTTGTATTGAATATATAATCATACAATCATACATACATCTATATACATGTTTTCAGATCTACCTCTAAGGGCAGGAAGGGACTAGGAAGGGAAAACGGTTGTTGTTCGTCGGTTGTGCTGCGAATTGGGAGCTGTCTACTCAGGTGCTCCCATAGTTTGTTGTCTGAACCGAAACCCCCGGCCTGAACAGTCCTGGTGTTTGAACTGCTAACATCTGCTAACCCCTTTCCCTGCCTCCTCCAATCCCTCCATTTCCTTCTCTCCATCCGGTCATCCACGTTTAACAAAGTGGAAAGGAAATCAGGATCCATAAAACATGAAAATCTTAGCGTGTTTCCATCCGGCCATCCAGCTTTTCTATGAATGTCTGCTTTTCCAATTTTGAAACGAAATCTCGGCCCATCGAAAGCTGACCGGATTTTAACGTTTACAAATTGGACATGTCCGTTTGGGGCCCACCAATCAGGGATGTCCACTAGTGTCCAATCCTGCTCATGGAATGCCAGCAGTTCAATTTATAGTGGCAGGTTCTAGCATTGAATCAAGGGAAATATGTTCCATAGCAATGTTGAATTACCAAAGGGTACGCCTCCAAATTTACCAAGTGTGAAACATAATGACATGGTATATAAAAGAAAATGCAAGAAATACCATGGTGCAACGTCATTCCCCTGCAATGTATTCGGCGATCCTTGGTGGTGCCCTGTTGTACAAATAGCCATAGCCCCATCATATCATCTCATATCCCCATTTTAGTTGGTCAGGAAAATTACAATTACCCTTTGGTAATTTAACATAGCTATTGAACATGAACCATTTATAGTTGATTTACCTACAAAAGATTGTGATTTTCCATAGCAAACTGTTAGCTTACCAGAGGGTATAGATCCCCGATACTATGGCGATCCTAACCTGCTCAACCCAAGGTTTACGGTTCCAGTTCAACTCCCCTGTCCGCCTTCTGCTTCAGCCTCCATTGTCACGTCAGTGTCGGAAACGAAGGCCACGCAACGACGCTGCGACGCGTGGCTTTGCACTTCTTCAATTGAGTCGCAGAAGTAGACGTTTTCGCGACCTCTGGGCTATTCAATGGCTGATTGCATGGAGAGAATGTATGGGTCCATGGGTCCCATACCCGACACCTAGGATTTATATCGTTGGTTTCTATCAATATTATGAATATTATATAATTGCAAATCGTGATATAAAACTTTCCAAACACAGGTCCAGATATATGGTAATGATCGTGATAATGAGCATAAACAATTCAATAATGATACTTCAGAAAAGAGTATGTATATACTAACAACTGCATTGTGATAGCCAATTACTCCAAGTTCCCTGGGTCAAGCTGTAGAACGTATGGAAGCTAGGACCAAGCCTACAATGATTCTACCAAAAGTCGTCTGCCACTCTGGGCCGGGAGCAAAAAAACTGCTATCGGAAGTACTGTGAAAAACGAGGAGCCTGCGAGTCAATCTGCACGGGCCAGAAAACCATGAATCTGAAGAGAACGGATGACATCCAACAGCGTAGATTAGAAGCATGTGCCACCCGATGACACTGGCAAAACACCAAAGGGCGCCTAGGAGGAAAAACATGGAAAAACCCTTGTGTGGCATACAAAACATGTGGTACAAGGAAAGTCCCTCCGTCGGAGCAATACTGGGCGACCTCTAAGAGTCACACCAGTACAAGTACTTCAAGTACTGGAGATTCCTTGCAATAGGCAAACCTATCAAAATAATTCAAAATATGCCTCGCTATATGATAACAGTGTAATCACTAACGTAACTCTATGCAAATATGAAACTTCCAGGTCAGTTTTGCCCATGGCAGAACGTTTTTCAGGGCATCCCCAAGCCAGAAAACCCAGCCGCATGTCTCGCAGTAGCGCTTCTTTGGGTCATCGGTGGGCTTCAAGGCATCCCAGAGCTGTGGGCATTGGAACTCCCAATCCTTTCAGCTGGGCGCTTGGTCAAAGGATCCCAACAATCCCAACCGGGCAAGGGATTCCACCAGCACAAACGGCTTGAAGGACGAAATGGGAAATCCACCGTTATATGCTTCAGATCTGTAGGCTCATGGCAATTGGTCGCGCATGAACAAGAGATAACAAGAGCAGTCACTTGCAGTAAAATGCCGGATCAATCTTGAACCCAAAAGATTGACAAACGCGCACCTTTCTAAAGTAATGTCTGAAACCACATACTGGGAACGGGCTGGGGCGAGCTGTGGAATTTATTGCATGTTTTCTTGACATATAGCACCCTGTCTTGTGTTTCAATCTATTCTAGACCATTGCTGCAATTGCTGCAAGTGTTGCACAAGTTTATTGGGTTCTGCCTTGAATCTTTCGCAATCTTTCAATGGCAGTTGGATCATATCCAGCTGAAACCTTACGACCTTTACAACTCTCACCTACATGATCTAGACATATCTGGACAATTCATAGTATTCATAGTACATCTCAGACCTGATCCGAAATATCTAATTGCGAATAAACAAATAAA